ATTCCTATTATTTAGCTGTAAAAATAAGCATAGTCCTGTAATTCTGATACATCTTTTTCCATTAGTGAGCTTGCATTTTTTAAATTATTTTTCGTCTCAAAGTGCTCTCAGTTATGTTTTATTTACTATGGTTGAAATTTTGCCCTTTGTGGAGTCTTGTTGACTTGAAGAGGTCTTGGATTTCTCTGTGCTTTGAATACAAGAGTCTTAGACACCACTGAAAACACAGGAGCATTGAGTATGCTGCTTAGTCCTGGGAAATTTCTTGAACAGAATAAACATCACTGAACTGTGGAGAAAAGTGTAGGTGTACAAATATGTTTAGTCAGCTGGAGTTAAGCCAAGATGCTTATGGAATTCCAAGATTTTTGTGGAATAACACTGTGGTCTTTCTAATCCTTATGCCACAATATAGGCTGGTTTTGTTTCTTTTTATGAAAAAAAGCCTTTCCAGCTACAACCTGTATGTTAATAGAATAGATTTCAAATAATGTATATTTTACTGACAGAGTAAAATGACTGCAGTATAGCTTTTCCTGTTGCCAACAAGTTACCAAATGCAGCATCCCCATCTAGCATTCTATAAAGCTTGTTTGTTCACCATTTTTTTTCTGTATCTGTTAAGTAAAAGTATATTTTTTGAAAGTGTGCAAGATGCAAACCCCCCCCCCCCCCAAACCCAGAAAAAAAACCCCCAAAAATCCTCCAAAAACCCCAGAAAATAAAATTTGGATCAGGCAAAATGAAGCCAAATAGAACAAGTGACATTTCTTACTCAGCTACAGACTATTCTCATCTTTCTTCATGTTGTACCTGATCACCACTATGGTATATCCTGTGTCTTTGAGCAGCCTGTTCCATGTAACACGTGAATACTGATAAACTATTCAAAGAGTTTACCTTACAGTAAAACTAAGACTTGGCATGGTGGAAAGTAGGAAACGGAACAGAGATTTGAAATTACATTTTGCCTCCTCATCTGTTGCTTTCATTAGGAAAAGTGGGATGGTCACTAATGGTTTCACCTTCACCATTTACTGTGTTTGCTGTATGTCAGGCAATAAGCCTTGCCTGAAGCATCTCCTGTGAGATCAATAGTTTTATAGATGTGTTAGTCATGTTACAGCCTCTTTAGTGTCTGTGTGATATCCCTCAGAACACAGGACTAAGTGTGACACATTGCTTTTAAGCGCAGCTGCAGCCCACATTAGAAAGTTGCTAGATTGATATAGACTATGAAAGTTTCAGATTTTCAAATTGAAAGAATGTCTAGAAAACATTTTAGGTAGTGTATTAGTCCAGGAACCAGGATATGTCATAGTGCGTAGGTGGTTTGTGTGTCTGCCAGTCTCAGTCACTGCAGAAAGAATTTACATTTGCATTGTAACGCACAGGAACTCTATGCTTTTTTTCACCACAGCAGCAGTTGGGTGGGAGCTACTGATCATGCAAAGAATGGGGGTGGCTAAAGGAAAAGTCTGAAAACTTCAAACATTCAGAAGATGCTCTCTAGTTCTGTCATTGTCTTTTGCCTCCAAGCATTTGCAGTCTCATGTTAACTGCCCATTTCTTATTTTTTTCTGGTTTTTCCCCACTGGAATAATGATCCTTCTAATAGTGTTTTAGCACCCAATGAATGATCTTCACTTAGCTAATAGTTCTGTGAAGACCAATGGCTTTATGTTAGTTTTCTATTTTCGAGACTAAAAATAAAGTCTATGTAAGACCCTGGTAGTTGCTGTTGCTGAAAGGAATTACAGTTGCCTTCTTCAGGAAGCAACAAAGTCCCCCAGCCAGTCAGCTTGTATACTCAAGGTGGTGGTTGTAATCTGTGGAACTGTGTGCTCCTAGGATGAAATCCATATTAAGAAATAAGTATGTGTTTAAGCCCTATTTTGTTCTGTATTTTCCCCTTGAAAACAATGGGAGATAGTAATCCAGGAAAAGGTAATTTATCTGTACATTTGTGGCTGTGAATTTCACATCAGTAAGAACACATTCATTGAACATTTCAAGTACAGACACAAAGATTCTTAGAAAGTTTAGCTTGTTGAATGTTGCATATAAATGAACCACAGTCAGAGTATCCAAAGATGACATGGGAATAACATAGCTTTTATAAATGTGTCAGCGCTGTTCTTGTTTGTTTAGTGTGGCTAGGGACATTTCTCATATTTATGATCTGTTCCCATCCCAAAGGCATGAATCCTATGAGACGAGCAGAGTGGACACCATATAAAGGGAAACACGCAATCAATATGCAAAACATTAGCAGCAGAGTGGGAGCAGCCTTGAATCCCAGTTTCCTTGCAAAGCTTGTGTTTTTCTTTAAACTCTGCCTTTTAGAATTGATTTTTTAAAACTTAGTTTCCATATGTTTTTGTTGGTTCTAACGTGCACAATTGCAGGCAAAACATAAGTAAGGAAATTTAACACTGAATAGGTAAGTCACAGTGTGACAAATAAGACTCCTCAAATATTTGCTTCTGAATTGCAAGCTAGTATTTTCATTTTGTAGGGATTTAAACAATACAAATGGTTGAGCTTAACTAGTGACTGGAGTAGAGAATATAGAAATTGCCACACCAATGTCTCGTGGAATACATTGCTAACACCTGTGGGAGATGTAAGTTAAAAACATCTTATTTTGGTAAATTGAGACAATTCCAGAAACAGAATTCAAATGTACATTTAAAATTACTCTCGGTTAGGCTAAAAGGCATCCAGACTTGATACATGAAGACAGACTGTTGAAATGTCCCTTTAGCTATAGGGTTGGGATTATTTTCCCCATTTTATTGTTTTGACAAAATTCATAGTGGATGGAAAGGTTCATCAAAAACACAAAATCAGAAAAATTGTATGGATCCTAACAGAAGTATCTGTTCCACTTCAGGGCTGAAATTCTTCTGTCTTGCTTGCCCTTATATCTAGAGTTGTCTAGTGTCAGCCGGAGGCAAAAAAAAACGAAAACAAACAAACCCCCAATCCCCCCCCCAAAAAAAAAAAAAGAACCAAAAACCCCACACACAAAACAAAACAAAAAACCACACACACACACAAAAAATACCAAAACCAAAAAGACACCAAAAAATTTTCCGAAGTCAAACATAAGTGCAATGTCTTTTTTCCTAACTTCCCTCTTCAGATACTCAGACAATTCTGGGATCATAACAAAGGGGCAGGAAAAAGAGAAATGGTGACAAATTGTGTGTTCCTTTACCATCATTTAGTTTCAAGATAACTTACTTTGCTGAGACTGTAAACAAAATATCAAAAATAAGTCTTTTTTTACAAGTTTTCTTAATGACAAGCATGGCCAAATTTGGATTGCTCAGCTATTCCAGAATTATTCCTTGCTTTGAAATAAAGGAAGTATGTGTATTCTGTTGATTGTGATAGTTAGCCCACTGAACAAATGATTTGACCATCTTCTAAATGAGGAACACCCAAGAATAATGACACTAATAGATACTTCATGTCCAGCTTGCCATGACACAATGAATTTGATCATGTCTGGCTTCATCTGCTGCCTAATGCAATGTAGTATGACAGATAAACTAAATCAAATGGGTGACATTATCGGATTTGGAAGACGATAGCTCTTGTAAAGCAAATGAAGTGAGACTGTATCAGTCCAGAAGATTTTGGATGTTTATTGAGGTCTTGAATGTTTGAAACCCAGCAAATAAATGTTTTAAGTGCTGCAAAGCGTCTGTGTGCTTATTACTGGCAAAGCTGTTGCCTGAAACAGGATTCAGCTAAATTTTAGGTTTTCTTTGTGTGTTTAATTAATTTTTCCATTTCTGCAAGTGCTTTGTAGAGGCAGTGGCTTGAACTTTAAAGCATGCTACTACAAATGCTTTTGTACTTGTTGTGGTCACTAGACTCAGATCTTTCAGTTACAAAGATAAGTTTAAGTTTCAGTGAGCTAGGATTTAATACTGTGCATTTGAATAAATAGTATCCAGGATTTATTTTTGATTGTTTTCAGCATTGTCATAACAGGTTGTGTTTATTGGGTAATTTTAAGGAAGGTTTTAATTAGTGTTTCTTTCAACTATTTGTTCATTTTGAATACTTGTAACAATTCATGATATGATATTACTTGAGCCTTTATAAAGTTGTTCTGATATGATATTACTTGAGCCTTTATAAAGTTGGTCTGCTAATTATCTTTCAGTAAATAAGATGGAGTTGCTGTAAGGGTTGTAAACAGTTAGGAAGCTCATGAAGACATGCCTAATTTTGTTACCTAAAGCTACATTCCTTTTTATTTCTGCTTTGCTTTACGAAGGCAAAATGTTCAGTTCTCACTCAGTATGCAGTTTAGAGAAAACGTTTTTTTATTTGTGATGCCATGATGAATTATTTTTTAATAGGCAAAAGTTGGTTCAACAAGTAGGGGGTTTTATTATTTAATAGCTGAAAAAAGACTTGAAGTGTCTTTATTTCTTAAAATAAGTAAGCTTCAAAATATGGCCTTTATGCTTAAAAATGTAATGTATTTTCGTATAGTCTCCCAATGATTTGTTAAATTGTCAAAAATTAAACATAGCCTCTTCAAGAAATTTGTCTTCCAGATCAGATTTTTATGTGTGTTCTGAACAGCAGTGCAAGAAGCTATGACGAATAAATCTGCATCCATTAGCTTCAGGATTTGTTCTCTATTACGTTTAATTATGTAGGAAGCTTTCAGATAGATAATCTTAAGAAAATTGGGGTACTATGCCTGTAATTTTGGTTTTGTAACTGTGCTGGGATTTCTTTTAAATGTAGCCTCTCTGAATACTTGTGAGTTTTAGAGTTCTTCAGGTTAGTAAAATGTTTCTCTAATGTATCTTCCTCAATAATTGATATGTATTAATTATTTGAAATTAATGTTGCAGTTAAAATATGAATCATTAGCATTAATTAGGGTTTTGTTGTAGGTCATGACATGATAAAAACAAGAACTCAAATTAGAACAGAAATAAAATTAACTTTCTTTTTTTGTATAGCCCACTGTTTGTGAACGGGAACTCTGTGTATTTGCTTTCCAAACATTAGGAGTGATGAATGAAGCTGCTGATGAAATTGCAACTGGGGCACAGGTAGGATTATCTGATGTTTTCTGTAGTTTACTCAGTCCTCCCTGTCTCTTCCAGTATGTGTTTTGACTTGTATGCACCATATAATTACTGTTTGGTAGGTATTATTTATTTGTCCACTGTTTAGCTGTAAATGCACTGGTGCCTTCAAATAGTATTAATGAGGTGTTTCCATTGTTTTGCTTCCATGTAATTAGAGCAACTGCTTTTGTACCCTGTTGTATTCAATTAGGTCACCTGGGTTGTTAATAAATGCAGCCATTGTAATTTGGAGATAATTCACCTAATGAGCCATTACTACTCTCATGCAATTAATAAGTTACTTCCCATTCATGGTCTTGGGATGCAGGGATCCACTGAGCATCTGTTGTTGCAATCATTACATAGGAGTGGGAAAGTCCTTACTGATATTAGTACACAGGGTTCTTCCTTTTTCTCAAGGATCAGAAATTTAATATAAGCCTGCTTCCTGACTCTAAATTCAATTATTGATGTAGTTATAACCCTATCATTGTTTTCTTAAAGTATTTTAAATTACACTTCCAAATCACTAAACTAATGTTTCATTAAAACAGTAGTTAAAAGATCTTATGTTTAAGGTCCCTTTAAGATCTTGCGGTAAAAGTCTGCACATCTTAAGGAAAAGTGCATTTGAATCCAATTTTCTGGTTACTGTGGTTCTACATAGTAAGCAACATGAGTGTTTTGGAAGAAAAACCTTCAGTTTATTTAACTTTAACTAGCACTAGTGAGTATGGTCACTGGAAATTATTCTGGTAGGTGCCTGAATACAACCTCAAAGGCAGAAAGTTGCAACAGTATAGATCAGCTTCCTCACTTGAGAATATGACTGTGGAATCAGAACAGCAGTGTTACATTGTTCTCGGACATGCCTTTCCCCCATTCCCTGGGACCCCTGTGACTCTGATCAGATAACCCTGGACCCCTCCTTCCTGCCCTGACAGGGTTGGTGGAGAGCCAAGAAGCCCTCCCTGTCCAAAGCCTAGATAAACCCCTGACATTTCCTGTTCGTCCTCTTTTGCCCTGCTCTTTCCCTTGGACATCACAGAATAAAGAGAGCTGCACCATCATATATTGGGGTCAGAGCCTCTTTTGGAAATCTTTGCCATCTCCTGATATTCCTTTCCTCAAAGCCTCGGATCTCTGGGCTAGCCTGATAATTTGGGGGCTGAGAGTGGAGAAACATCACAGCAGTTCTTCATCTGATGTCTGAAGACCACTGGATTTGTAACCTCTAGTTACCAATACTTGGTAGACTATTGGGATAGCAGTTTAGGCTTGTAAGAAATGGAGGTGTGCAGATGAAGCCCCACCTCTTCCTCTGTGAGCATTTAACTTTTTAAATTTAGGCAGACATTACATTACACGTACATTCAGAATCATAGAATCATAGAATAATGGGAGTTGGAAGGGAGCTGTAAAGGTCATGTAGTCCTACGCCCTGCCATGAGCCAGGACAATGACAACTTCAACTAGATCAGGTTGCTCAGAGCCCTGTCCAACTTGGCCTTGAATGTTTCCAAGGATGGGGCATCTACCATGTGTCAGTGTTTCATCACTGTCACTGTAAAAATCTTCTTTATATCTAGTCTGTATCTCCCCCCTTCAGTATAAAACCGTTACCTCTCGTCCTATCAAAGCAGGTTCTGCTAAAAAGATTTTCCCTATCTTGTCAATGGTTTGCAATAAGGTTTCCCAAAAGCCTTCTTGTCTACAGGCTGAACAACCCCACCTGTTTCAGCCTGTCTTCATCAGGAGGGCATTCCAGTCTTCTGATCAGTTTTGTGGCCCTCCTCTGGACTTGCTCCAACAGGTGTAGTCCTTTCTTATGTTGCGGACCCCAGAGCTGGAAACAGTGCTCAGGTGGACTCTCTATGAGGGCAGAGGGGCAGAATCCCCTCCCTCCCCTGCTGCCCACGGGGCTCTGGATGCAGCCCAGGACACGTTTGGCTCTCTGGGCTGTGAGTGCCAAGGCCGGGCCATGTGCAGCCTCTCACCCGCAGCAGGCACAGAGGTGGCAGATCCATAGTTTCCAGAGCCCTCCTTTCTATCCTTTTTAAAATAGGTGCAGTATTTCCCTTTTTCCAGTCACCTCTGGCTTCACCTGACTGCCATGCCTTTTGACTTGGCATAGAGAGTAGCTTGGCAACTCTATCAGCCAATTCCCTCAGGATTCTGAGATGAATCTTATCAGGTCTCATAGACCTTTCTGTGTTCATGTTCCTCAGGGGCTCTCAAATCTAATCTTCACTGACAGTGGGAAGCAATTGCTTCCCTACTTCCTGTCTTGAGCTTCATGAACTCGAGAGGTGTGTGAAGGGGAGACTGCCAATGAAGACAAGCAAAAAGCTGTCAAGTTCCTTGGTCTTCTCATTATCTGCAGTTACCATTTTGCCAGTCATGTTCAAAGAGGGGTGCACTTTCTTTGACCTTCCTTTTCTGTCTCCCATGCCTTCAGAAGCCTCTTTGTTAATCTTTGCACCCTTGTAAAGTTCATCTCTAGTTGCACCTTGGGCTCCCTCACCCCATCCTGACACAAGCAGGCTATAGCCCTGTATTCTTCCTAGAATATCTATCCCTGCATCCTTTGCCTGTGCATTTCCTTCTTTCCTTTTAGTCTTATCCACAAGTCTGGAGTCATCCTTGCTGACATCTTGTCTTCCTTTCCTGATTTTCTACACATGGGGATTGAACCCCATGCACGCTATGGAAGGCATTCCTAAAGATCTGCCAGCTCTGATCTGTTCCCTTGTCCCTGAAAACGTTTTCTAGGGAGTCCTATTGAATAAGTATTTGAACAGCTGGAAGGTTGCTTTTCTAAAATTTATAAATTAGATATGAGCTTTTTTAACTAGAGCTGACTAAGTAGAGGAGAGGTGGCCCTGGTTAGCCCTCACTCTGTTTTATGTAAGTATCAGTGTTGCAAGCATGTGCAGAGTTTGCTGTAGATCTCTGGAGTGCCTCTACATTTACAGAGCTTTACTGTAGAATTTTGAAGTGATTACAACCTTAAGAGTGCATAAAAGAGTTAGATAAGGGGTTTTGTCTATTGTCCCCTTGGACCTAGGTAGCTAAATTCTGCTAAGGTTCACTCTAGTGACAGCATTGCAGACAGCTCACTGTATTGGATCTGACTGAGCTCCCCATTCCTGTTTGCAGAAAAAGTTCATCAATTCTAGAGTTTGATCCAAATGAGCTCTTTTTGTCATTAGTTCAGGACAGTGTGAATCATGGCAAAGACTGTCAGCACAGTGGTTATTTCTCTAAAAGCCTAGGAAGCTTAGGCTTACTAGTAAAAGGAAGGTGTTCACATTTTTGTCTGATTAATCCTCCTCTAAATCATTTTGTCTAGTGAAGAAGGCTAAATACAGGTTCCCATCATTAGAAATCATATCCTATTTTGTCTTTTGTGCTTTCAGCTAGTTTCCTGAGGTGCACAAACCTACTTTGTCACTCCAAATAATCCAATGGCTTCTCCTTAATAATGATTGTTCTTTCTAAAACTTTTCATCCTGAACTCAAGTTACCTTGTATTAGTCATGTAGGCAAAATGCTTGAAAATTAGATGACTGATTGCTTGATAGTTCCTACTCCCGGTAAAGAGTCCCTTGAGAGGCACTGCTTTAGGGACTGATGTCATAAGAGGAATTGTCATCAGCAAGTGTTGTTCTTGTCCTTCATGCAACTATTTTAATCCTTACTTACTCCAGTACCTCCGATTGAGGAGGAGTCCATGCCCAGTTTTAAGGACATCTGATAGATCCACAGCACTTCTGTTCCCTAGGAATGTATATGCAAGTCTCTATTACAGGGTTTATATGAGATTTACCTCTCAGTTTAAGTTGTTTTGCATTGCATCAACTCAAAACAATGACCTCAGGGGAAATCAAGTGTAAAAAAAAGGCAGAATTTGAAACAATCTAGGAGTCAACTGTTTAAAGGAGGGCTTCTTAGTAGAACTGTGCCAGTTTTAAGACAGTGTCCTATCACGTAAATCATAGAGCAAGATAGATTTGAGTCTCTGCATCAAAAGATCTCGGGACTCAAACAGCTCTTCCCTAGGAGTGTTTTGTGACAGCAGACTACGAAGTGCTTCTCAGAAGCAGGATGAACTCATGGTCAATTTCACAGTAATACATTTACACAGGGACAAGTCTGCTGCCTCATCTGGTTGCTGATCTTTGTAAGTGGTAGTGTATATGCCATATTTCAAAACATTCATCTCACATACTGATAGTTTAAACTGGAAAGTAATTAGATAACCATTGGGGAAGGGGTCATTATTTAAGTAATTTCATTTTTCAGTATATGTGAGATGTTTAGTAATTGCAACTAACAATATATTGAAACTGATGGAGAAAATTGTCCATTCTTGCTGAAGGAGCAGAGGAGGAGAATGGCAGCTATATGACTCACCACAGCACAGTTCTTTGCCCCTTTCATCATTATTCTTATTTTCATTCTTAATCTCTAAAAGGTCGTCATTTTTTTCCATCCAAATTATCAGATACAGTGACAGATGTAGAAAATCTTCTAGATGAGTGTGAGCTGTGAGATGAGATCTGATCTGTGTGGAGTTGTGGGGGGAACCAGGAATATCTACTAACTCCAGCTTGTCTCAGTTTTTCCTTTTTTTTTTTGTGAAAAAGTTGTTTTCACACAGGAGTGTTTTCAGAAGGTGCAGAAAAAACATGAGAAAATTAGTTAATCTGCAGCTACTTTTTATATAGCAGTTTTGGATTTCATTATGAGCTGGATTTATATTTCACAGGTGCCATAAAGCTGCATTCTCTCATGTTTATTATTGCTGTGTTCTACTTTTAACTTCTGAATTACATATTTTGAAACAATTACATGGGAATCTGTGTCTAAGTAGTATATGTACTTATGTACCCATCTATGTGCACATTACATGCACAGTCCTGGGGAGAAATTGTGAAAATCAAAGATACTCAAAGAAGTGTTGTAATTTTGTACAACAGGATGAAAAGAAGAGGATGCCCCAGTGTGAGCTGTGCAGATGACTGTTAAATCATTGCAGTATTCTGGATTTAGCAGAAGCAATGTTTTCAAGTGTTTCTGTGATTACAGTCTTCAGGAGAAGACCAGAAAGTGGTGCAAATTTGACAGACTGCGCCTTGTTCTTGAGCAAAGTTTTTACTGTCTGTACAGAGATACACAGATCTAGCACAATTTCATTTCCTTAGTGAATAAATTTTATACAGGAATTCACGTGTGCACAAGAGCAAGGAATAGATCAACTAATATATTTGATGTTGTAAATAGGACCAGATACTGGTCCTCTTATATGCCATGGCTGAACCCAAACTCTGTTGAGGTCAGTGGAAAAAATTTAGTCCGTAACTGTCTCCTGTGGATAACACAGTTTGGGCAACATAGGTAACAATGAAATACAATATAACTGTAATGTGTAAGTAAAAAAAAGGCAGATTGGAAGATACATTATAAAGAAGATCGGAAGATACATTGTAAGTACTTATAAAAGTACTTATTTTGAATAAACATAATAAATATGTCTTTTTTTATCCCCAGGTAGTTGATCTGTTAGTATCTATGTGTCGGTCTGCATTAGAATCACCTAGGAAAGCTGTCATTTTTGAGCCATATCCTTCTGTAGTTGATCCTAATGATCCTCAGATGCTGGCCTTTAACCCCAGGGTAAGTAGCAACCTTTAATTGTGTCATCTCTTGATTTTAGTAATATATGAGATTTCAAAGCAAAGACTTCTCATGGAGGAGTCTCCTTTATTATGTGATACAGCTCCAGAATATAGCACAAGTGTGTTTTCAAAAATTTGCATTTTTTATTTTTTGTCTCTGACAAGGTACTTGAATATAGACTTGTCCTGGTTCTGGCCAGGAAAAGGGTTAATTTTTGCAGTAGCCAGAATGGGGTATGGCTGAGACCCAGAAGCTATTCTATACCACCTCACATCATTTCTGGGAGCAGGGGGAAGGGAGTCTCTACTAGAAAAAAGAGGGAAAAGAGTTCCCATTTTACTTGGCAGAGGGAGCAGTTGTATATTATTTGTTACTGGTTTTCTTATCTCATTGCTGTTTCCAGCTGATTGTTCTTAGCTCAGCCTGTGATCTTTACCTTGTGCTTCCCAATTCTCTGTCCCACAGCAGGGGGAAAGTGGAAGGAGGAGAGGGAAGAGGACACTGAGCAGTGCTAAGTCTCAGTGGCAACAGTAAATTGGAGAATACCATCCCTAAACCATGACAAAATTGTAGGTTATGTTAAAGCCAAGAAACTCTTCTAAGAGACAAATTCTAGATGCAAAATTTTATATTCTAAGTGTTTTTTTCTCAATATGCACATTGGACACAAATGAAAGATGGCCTTTGAAAGACAGAGGTCATGTAAGCCAGGGGATTTCCAGTCCGTCTTTTCATTCTTAGAAGTGTCGTTGCTGTCATCTCATTTTCTCACTACTATTTCCTTGTATGCAGTTTTATCAGATGTTAATAGTTGAATTTTGTGCAAGCATCAATTTTGAAATAAAGAATTGTGCTTGCATTACCTGCTCCTTGGGCTCCTAATGCTGCCATTCAGGGAAGCTCTCAAGCCGTGAATATCCCATCTCCCTAAAGCCATCTCCCCAAAGGCATAGAGGAGAATTTGGCATGTCCCTGCTGGGATGCATTTCCCTCTCTCTGAGCAAAGGCCAGCTAGCAGGAGTTCTTTGTGAGGAGAGGCTGAGGTGTTCTGCAATGTGTTGGCAAGACCCGAAGATGGGAAAGAGTGAAGCTGCTGTGGAGTGTGAAGCATGGACTGTTTAGCTTGTTCACTCGGTACCGGTGGAGCTGTCTGTTAGTGGCTCCTAAGCAATAGGTCAGCAAAGATTGGGGTGAGGCAGAGGGACCACATCTGTTTATATGCATTTTATTTAAAATCCGTTTGGGTCACTGTATTACTTACCCCAACAGCATGTTGTCCAACTAACTGTGTTTAGTTACAAATATTTGTTTAAAAATGAGCTGGTGTTTGGAGTGTTTTGGAGAGCTCAGTGAAATTCAAAGAAGAAAGATCATAACAATATTTTTTCAATTATTTTTTTCTGGATGATGAATAAGACTCTGTAGAAGAAATCTAATAGTTAGAAATGTTTGAAAGAATTGGTTTGCCCATCATATCTCCTAGCTTCGGTTTTATACACACCCAGAGAATTCAGGTGTTTTTAGAGCCAAATACTAATACTCTTTGAACTTTTTTGTGTATTTTATGCCACATCAGAAGAAGAACTATGACCGAGTCATGAAAGCATTGGACAGTATCACTTCCATCAGAGAGATGACACAGGTAAATTTAAAAATACTTACCTAACTGAATCACTGTTTCTAGATCTTGAAAGATCTTTTTCTGCATATGATGGGTTGAGAAGTCAATGGTATAATTTCTTTCCTATATAACTGTAATGATATTGAAGTGTTTATTCAAAATAACAAACCTGTCCTTAATGCCAGGTAAATAAAAATAATGAAGTAGAACTCAGATCTTTTGAAGTTTAAATAAGAGATAATAACAGCATAATGAGACATTTTAATGGGGTCATCACCAACTGCTGCATTTCTGGAAATACCAAAGTCAGAGTCTCTATTTCCAAAGCAAAAGTAATTGATCTTGTGTCAATGTTCTGAATGGTATTCTGAATGACATTATATTTATTTCTATTATAGCAAATTTTCTATCAACTAAGTATAGCTGGGGGCTTGGAAGGTTGGGTCTCTTGGGTTTACTGTCGTATTATTTCTCATGGCATATTTGATGGTTGTATTTCTGTTTATTTTTACACTCCTTTCCCAAACAACCCAGCTGATTATAAGTTGTTGTTTAAATCCCTTCCATATATCTTGCTTTTCCAACTGCTATATATATGTATCCTCACAACAGTTTTCAATCTTGTTCTGTGTATTAACAAAATACTTTGGGATTCTTGAGTGCAGAATGTATAGAGAGGAATAAAATAAATTGAAAATTAAAATTCACTCCTTTTTTTGTTAATTTGTTTAACATTTTGTAAAAATTTTAGAAATTGGGTGTTTCTGTGATTTCTTATGGTGTCATTTAAAGATAGAAAATAATTACCATTCTGGGTTTTTAATGTTAAAATAATTTTTGGACTAATGAATTTTAAAGGGATGCTTTGCATTGTGATTGAAATCAAGAACAATGTTCAAAGAAATGACAATATGACATGGTATTTATATCTTGAAACAGTTGAAAATACCAAATGGATTAGTTTGACTTTCTTTGAGAGACTTAATTTTGTGAAGTTCCAGTCCAATTTCATAATCAAGAGTCACACAAAAATAGATATCTTCTTCTGTTCTCCCTGAAGTCACCAATGTTTGCTATAATATAGTCATTTTGCTGCTAATTATATGCTTATTATTTTACTCTAGGGAAAATAATTGCTATACTAATTCTTGTTGTCAAAACACACAACTCTACTAGGCTGTATATCAGCAAAACTGTGATTTAAACCTAATAATGTATTTCCTTTAATAGATGAAATCATGGGCAATGTAACATACAAAATTCAACCTAGAAATAATGTAATTCCTCTTTTTTAGGCACCTTACTTGGAAATAAAGAAGCAGATGGATAAACAAGACCCACTTGCACATCCTCTTCTACAATGGTATAAAGTTTATTCACATGAGATAATAATTATCAAATTATCATTTGTAATGAATAATCACTTGACCAGTGTATTGAGGTATAAGGCCAGCCTGATAATTAATGTTGGTGTTTTCAACTGCAGCTATTCTGGACTGTTTCGGGACCTCATCTGGGTCCTCTGATCTCATTTTCTAGTTAAGGTTTGGCCTACTTCCATGTGATAGGTTTAGAGGCATACAGATGGGTGCTTTGTGATGGCCATTCATAACATATTTTTAACTTTGGTTTGGTTACTACGTCTAATACATCTGTTTCTTATTTCAGGGTTATTTCTAGTAATAGATCACATATTGTGAAGCTACCAGTGAATAGGGTAAGTGTCTGTGGGTTTTCTTATTATTTTCTGTTTTTTTTAATTAGCTTGTATTAGCATTTCAGGTGGGAGTTTACTAGCAAAATGTAGGTGTCTACATTCAAACTGATTGCATGGACTCCTTTAATAGATAAGGCAGTTTAGGTCATGATTTTTAGAAACTTGTAAATATCTGAAATAGATCAATAGGTTCATAAAAAACCCGTTTGAGATGAGTAACTCAAGTTCAGGTGTCTACCTGGTAATCATCTGGGATTAGGTGAGAGAAACATTGCTTTTTGTTTTGTTACTGTATAGAATATTAGATGCAGAATTGTACTGAAAGCAGTGCACACAAACATGCTGTTCAGGAGATCCACATATAAGTAACCTCTGTTTAAGGGCATAGTAATATGCAACCTTCCAAATAACCTTCATTCAAAGTTAGCTCTGATAGACTACTATGATGAAATTCTTCAGTTTAGTTATTAAAGCCATTTTAAATTGAAATCTAGTTTCCAAAAATTTCCGTATGTTTCATAAGCTGAAAGTCATTCTTACTATTTGATTTCAGCTTGAAACTGTGGTAGTGAGACCAGTTTCAACTTAGTTCATGCAGTTATTTAGATGCAGTCATGTATTGTGTGGAAAAGCACAATATCTTAAGAATTGTCATCAGAGAATTATAATACTTTCATATTAATCAACTTCGCTTCACATGTGCACTCTTATATTTTACAGCAACTGAAGTTTATGCACACTCCCCACCAGTTCCTTCTTCTCAGCAGTCCACCAGCCAAAGAATCCAATTTCCGAGCTGCTAAAAATCTCTACGGAAGTACCTTTGCATTTCAGTGAGTATATATATTCTTAATAACCAAAGGTTATTGAAATGCCATGCTATTTTTTTACTTCTGGCATTTGAGGTTTGCAGCTGTGAATCTACTGTTTTAATAGATTTCTGATGTAATTTTTATATTTTACACTGTGAATTTTACCTCTTTCTTTTTCATTTTATTCAGTGGTTCACACATTGAAAATTGGCATTCCATCCTGAGGAACGGCTTAGTTGTTGCTTCTAATACGAGGCTGCAGGTAAATAAACAAAACAGATTTTAGCTAATCTGTTCATGCTTGGTTACGTATTAGTTATGGCAAATTTTCAGGGGGTTTCATTCTAGTAGCCATATAGCTGGAAAAAGGGATGATTTCAAATACCATCTTGTTTCCTGTGAAAAAGTACTTTTTACTTTTCTGATGCAATTAAAATGAAGTAATGTGTCTGCTGTAACGTCTAGAAAATCCCTTTGCGGGAATCAGCGTTTCAGTTTTACATTGCAGAGCAGCACCTCTAGGAGGCTTTGCTCGGTAAGGCAGCCAGTCGCAAGTGAAAGTCAGAGCTGCCTAAACTATCTCCGTGTCATAGGATCCAGAAACATGCTAGAGTTACAGGAACTGGGCTTGCAGCACTCTGCCTCTCTGATTTCTTTGGGAATGGAAGCATGAAGTGTGCTGGCCAGAAGGGATCTAGTGCAAACTTCTCAGACCGAATCATCAGACCACTATTGCAAAGTAGGCACTAGAGAGGGACTGAGGAGCTCTAATGCAGAGTATTTTAGCATTGTGGGTTTGGTAGCTCTCCCCAGAGCTGAGTCCATGTACCTTGAGGAGGATCCCAGGGCATATTTGATCATGTACAGAAACACTCTTTGTAGACATCCTCCATAGTAATACTAGATTTAAAAACAGAAACCACAATTTTATATATGAGTCTTCAGTAGAATTTTGTGTGGGCATCTGGTTTTTTGTTTAGACATAGTTTCCAGGATATATATATATATATATATATATATATGTACACACACACACGCACACACACGCGCGCGCACACACACACACACACACATATATATATATGTAAGTTTTTATACTCAAGGCATGATTTTTTAAAATACTTCTTTGAACACTGTTAATTACACAGAATAAATAAGTAGGATGGGCAAATGTGCTATGACCTGTTCCTGTAATAATTATTATTTTCTCCTCATTACCAAATTTATGCTAAGTAGTCACTCTGCTCTTTTTCAGCTCCATGGTGCAATATTTGGAAGGGGAATCTACCTTAGTCCATTGTCAAGCATATCATTTGGTTACTCAGGTGATATTTATAAATCACTCTAAAGTTGGACAAATATAGGGGTGTATCTTATTCTACTGCTTCTTCTTACAGCTTTGCTGTTTAAAACATTATATTCAATTTAATCGTTGTTGACTGTCATTAAATTTATTTTTTAAAAATTATATAAATAATAAGAAAATAGAAAATTACCTTGTTAAACACTGTCCTTACTTTTCAAGGTGCTTAGAATTCTTAAACTTGTGCTTGAGGTAAATATCAGCTAATACTGAAAGCTATATGTAGCAGGTCTTGATGGTTTAGCTGAAATCCAGCTTAGTGGTTTTTGTCAATACCTGCCTAAGTTCTATCTAACTCCACCCATGAATTCATGGTCTTTTACGACTTCATCTGAAAAAACAAGTATTGATCAATAGACATGTTCAACCATGTGTATTTAAGAGTATTCCCGAGTATCACTGTTATGTCAGGACTACATAGAAAGTACAACTCAATGGGTTTATTTTAGCCTGAGAAGGAACATAATTTGTACCACCAGTGAATCCTGAAGTGAGTGTTGCAGGGTTTTCCATGTAAGAATTAAATATTAAACAAATGCATCTTACAGACAAGACACTTAGACATGTACATTGAGAAATTAAAGGGACTTTCTTCTTTAGGTATGTGGTATTTACCATTTCCTCACATATGAAAGTTCAAGGATATAGTTTAATGTGTGTTCATGTGTATGTAGATAATTCTGAGTTTTAGTTGTGCTTTCTGATACTCAGTGTTTCTTGGTCATGTTTTAGGAGCTCAACTTTTTGAGCTACTATTTGAGGAACTTCAACATCAGTTATCTCTAGATGCACTTTTACCTTATAAGAGATTACATGAGTATGAAGGCTTCTTAGGTCTCACTAAATGTGGTGGTTGAAGTATCCTTATCTAACAAAATGTCTTTTTTTTGGACAATACTGCTTTGTCAACTTCAGTGTGTTATTGCTCCTCTGCCTCTCTTGGCCTCTTCCAACCTGTCTCCTCCAGAAAGGAGGCTTGTGTTCCACTGAAGTGTGTAAATCCTTGATGCTAAGAAAAACCATGAAGGAGTCCTACATATTCCGTTCCTTCAAAGAGTTAAACTTGCCCATAATTCAGTTGTATTTACGAAGTGCCAAATATTGGAAGTGTTCAAGGTGAGGTCACATGGGGCTCAGAGCAGCCAGGTCTAGCGGAAGGTGTCCTTACTCATGGCAGAGGGGTTGGAATGAGATGATCTTTAGGTCCCTTCCAACACAAACCATTCCTTGATTCTTTGAAACATAGGATGTTGGAAACTCAAGGAAGTCCATAGTATCATGCAAAACAGGAATTTAATTTAAACCAAGATGAGGGATATGAATGAAATCTAAGGCACAATTGTATATGTTTCAGTTTCTGAGATGGAACTGGATCAAATAATTTAATATTTTATGTGTAGATAAGGAGATCAAACCAAGGTAGATTTCAAAATTTAAATTGCCTACTCATACAAATTATTTAGACTTCTAATAAAATTCCATAAAGGGCTAAAGATGAGTATCTAAAGTTCTTTCTGTCATGATTTTTGCCTTCCCATTCACAGTAAATCAGACTTCTATTTCAGCCTGAATAGGGTCAAGTGGATTGAGGACATACTGACCTACAACCCTGTTAAGCCACCACATAAGAATATTCCTGATCTGAATTCAGTGGCACTTAGGCTCAGGTTTATCTGCTTTTGCACCTACTTAATGCTAGCTTAACTTTGCAAAAGTCTTTGCAATACATGAAGAGGTATCTATAATTTACTGGATTTATATTGTGATATTCTCTAACAAAGTTAATGACCTTTTTGAGTGCCATGCAAAAGACTGTGATTCTCACTGTGCTAACTCTTCCATTCTCATACTTAACTGTGCTTTTTATGGTTTTTATAGGCCAGGGTATCTTACATAATTTTAATATTCCTAGGGATGAACAAGAAGCAGCAGCAGAAGGTGTCAGCTAAAGATGAACCAGCTTCAGGCAGTAAGGGCAGTAATACATCACAGGTATGGTGTATCAACCATCTCTGGAAGATGTATGGGATTTATTACTGGGAATTCAGTAGCTGAAAGAGAGGTAATATTTCCTTTGTGCAACTTACCAGTGTTACTGCATTGATTGAAGTCAACAACTTCAGAGACTGCAAATATCAAATACAGTCCAACTGCTCTAGTAAAAATCGAGGGAGCACATTGCAGATTTTGTGCCATTCTTTTCTAAGCAGAAGAATTTAGGAAGAGAATGAAAACTAAATACAGGTTGCATTATGACCCCTAGCAACCCCTTGCCCTCTTGAGTTTTAGATTTCAAGAGCACTGAGGCAAAACAAAATGAGAATGGTTGTTGCTGGGAAATGAGCAGTGTGTAATTTATAGCAAGTAATTTTTTCTTTTTCACAAATTGTACATGTTGAACTATTACAATGCTGCTATATCTAAAGCAAACTCACAGCACCTGTGCATAGAGCTAAATTTCAGGAAACTCTTAGATATGTCTCCATGATTAGCACATAGAAATTACAGAATAGTCTTGCTTTGAAGGTAGATTGGCATGTCCCAGTAGAAGCTGTCAGAAGTAGGAAGGCAAATAAAGCATAAGGGTAGTGACCAGAGAATTAGTGGCTAAATTTACCTTTATTTTCCTATTTTTTTGTCTGATATCAATTTGTTTATCAGTAACACTGATATTTCTGATAATATTTTTAATTTTGTAATAATGAGGGACTTTTGGATATTATTTTTCTGGATAAAGGAGTTATATATCTCCTACAGTAATGCAAATAAGTAATAGGGTTTTTCTAAAAATTCTATTACGTTTAGAAATAAAATAGGGACATTTTAGAAAGACTGCCCCTTCCTTTGTTCATTAATAAATCACTGAAAATAGCAGCTGTCTGCTCTGTTGCTTTTTGTCTCTGTTTGTTTTACTGCACTAATTCTATTTTCTCACTTTTTTACATCTCAGTCACAGAAGAAAGGACAGCAGTCACAATTTTTGCAAAGCCGTAACTTAAAATGCATAGCCTTATGTGAAGGTAAGCTGAAAGCCCTTGTGCAGCTGTTGTAGACATGGCCACAGGATGCAGAGATTATAGGGTGCAAATCAGTGGGAGCTTTAGTTGGTTGTTTAGGTAAGAAACTGCTGGTGGATCTAGGAGTACCTGCTCAACAGCTGACCTTTATGCTTCAGAAAGAACATTTCCCCTCTTTGAACAGAACCTGTAGTAAATGCTGAATTGTCATGGGATATCATATACCTGTAGTGACTGATCATCTGGTCTGTGTTTCAAATGTGATCCTCTTCCTAAGCCATCAAGAAAACCAGAGTCATGTCCTTTACTTGAAGCTCTGACTTCTTGCAAGCTCTTGACAAATGCTTTAAACACATGAAAGTCAGGAAAAAGCACCTTTCATATAGAATTTCCAAATATTTTTTTACTGTTCAAACAAGCATCTGGCAACCAGCATGTTCTCCTTGTTTGCTTCAGAAATTTTAGGAAGTTAAAATCTAATGCTTGAGTACAGTCACTCTTGAAAGAATTGGCTATTCTGTTAATAACCACTGAAACCTCAGCAGGTTTTGAGAACAAATTGTGGCATTTGACTAAGAAATGCGCCTGTAGTTAGGAACTAGTCTTAGAAATTATATTAACCCAATTTGCCCATAATTTGGACCATTTGTTTTTTTAAAAAAGTGAAAATTAAGACAGAATGTGGAAAATGTATTATTTCGAAGTAGAATCTTTCAGCTGTACATAAGTAAGGATGTGTCATTCAACATGAAAATGCAATTTGAACTGTACAGAATACAGAAATTTAGTTCTAAAACTTCCACAAGGAACAAAACTTAAACACTTGGCCTTTAATGCCTGATTTTTTAAATGTAAATTACATCTTTCAAAAAGACTTTTTCATCCATGTTGTTCTTTCCTTGCACTTACTAATGGATTACAACTTTATAAGAGAGAATTTTAAATATTTGGTAAGATACATTTTGCAGCTTTCTTATTAATTTCTCTGTGCAAGAAGGTGGTTTAAGGGATTATTATAAACTATTAATGAGTAGTTTATGTAAAATCAATTGCAAGAAATGTTTGTTAAAATTTGCAGTTCATGAAAGAAATAGTATCAAAATTGAATATGCATGCGGTAATGTTAGTGTTAGAATAAAATAAACCAGGCTATTTCAGTGCCTGACAGCTGTCACCCAAGTCCAATCCTGACCAATTCAGAGCTGCCCAAACGTCATGGCATGTCATTAAGAGTATTGTTTAAATGCCTCTTAAACACTGACAGGTTGGGCACACCAACCACTCTGTAGGAAGTCAGAGTTTGACCAGCTATTGTGGTTCAGCCCCAACCACAACCCAGGCCCCACTCTGCCACTCACTCACTTTCTCCCAGCAGGGCTGGGGAGAGAGTCCAAACTGTAGAAGCCCAAGAGGTCATGGTTTGAGATAAAGACAGGTTAATAGGGAAAGCAAAACCGCTGCACGCAAGCAAAACAAAATAAGAAATTACTTCACTGCTTCCAACAGAGCTGTTCAGCCATCTCCAGGAGAGCCCGGTCCCACCACATGTAGGGGTTATTTGGGAAGATCAACGCCATAAATCCCCTTTCCTCCTTCTTTCCCTCACTTTATATGAGCATGATGCTACATGGTCTGGAATATCCCTTTGGTCAGTTTGTGTAACCTCTCCTGGCTGTGTCTGCTCCCAACCTCCCATGAATCCCCAGCTTTATTGGAGCGTGGCAGTATGAGAATCAGAAAAGGCCTTGGCTGGCTCTGTGTGAGCAATAACAAAAACATGTCTATACTGTCAGCACTGTGTTCAGCATGTCCAAACACTGCCCCCTGCCAGTCATTGGGAAGAGAATTAACTCTACCCCAGTCCAGCCCAGCATGCCACCCTCTCAGTAAAGAAATGCTTTGAAATGTCCAGTCTAAACCTCCTCCAGCACAGCGTTGAATCGTTCCCACACATCCTGTCACTGCATACCAGGGAGAGGTGCTCAGCACCTCCCTGTGCCCTTCACCTCCTCAGGAAGCTGCAGAGTGGTGAGGTCACCCCTCAGCCTCCTTTTCTCCAAACCAGACCAGCCAAATTCCTCCATTAGTCTCCTGGACATTCTTTCCAGCCGTCCCACCAGCTGTTTCCCTCCTCAGAATGCACGGAAGGACCTTCCCATCCTTCTCCACCCGCAGGGCCCAGCAGGCCCCAGGTGAGGCTGCCCCAAGGCTGAGCCCAGGAGGACCATCCCCTCTCTGGGCTGTGCTCGGTGCTCTGGGATGGGGTTTGTTGGGATGGGGTCTGTCCTCAGGGCTGCCCGGGCACTGCTGACCCACCCTGAGCCACTCCTCTCCCACTTCATCCCTGTGCCTGGTGTTACTCCTTCCCAGGCACAGAATCCACCATTTGGACTTGACAAATTTCACCCCATTTAAGGTTGCTCAGTGCTCCAATCTATCTAGATCCCTCTGCAAAGGCCTCTTGTCCCTCAGGAGATTCCACAGCACCTCCCAGTCTGGATCATCAGCAAACCTGCTACTGGTGCATCCAGTACTCACCTGCTGCATCCAGATGGTGGATAAATACAGAGAACTGGCCCTGGAATGGAACCCTGAGGAACAACCACTGTTGTGACCAGTCACCAACCAGATGTTGCCCCATCCACTACAACCCTTTGGGTTCAGTCCCTTGGTCAGTTCTTCACCCACCACACCATGAACCTGATCATCCCACAGCTCAAAAACTTGTCCAGAAGGATGCTCTTCAAATGCATTTAGATATCTTCAAATGTAAATTGATGGTATAGCTTCTAGTTAGCAATAAAAAGCTTTCTTTCCTGTGTTGTCCTCATTCTGCTGGTAAACTACCTGTTGTCAAATACATCGATCTAGTTTTGGCAAGCTTTTTGAACCTCTTGAGTCATAATTGCTACTTGTTTTAAATATTTGGTAGTATTGCACAGCCCACATATAGCAGTTTCAGGCTTTGTCTTAAGCAACTTGGTTTTGGGTCAGCCATCACTAAACACAAATATCTGTTCCAAGTGCTGAGGGTCTCAGACCCTCTTTAACAGCCCTATAGCTTTTAAAATTCAGTTTTTAATAAATGCATTTTTAAGCTTTCATTCAATTTAGCAACTTGCTCCCATACATCAAACATCTGTATTTTTGGAAAAGTATATTTTAGAAACAAGAACCAAGTTCATCTCCATTTTTGTACTAGAGTCAAGTCAAAATCTGCACTGCAGCACAGACACATAAAGGAAAACTGCACGTTCTCAAAAGACTATTTTGAGAGCAGTGTTTTCCAGGCATGTTTTCATCACTATGAAATTTGTTCTCTTTCTGATAGTGATAACCTCACCTGATCTGCACAAACATGGGGAGATATGGGTAGTTCCCAACACGGATCATGTGTGTACAAGATTTTTCTTTGTGTGAGTACAAAGCTTCTCTTTACATTCAGCTTCATACTAGAGCTTGTTCTTATGTTCCCTCCAATATTTGTAATTAATGTAGATAAAAGACATTTCTTCCTAATTCTGTTGAGTATTCCGTCATTTTTTATCTTTTGCTGTACTTACTTGTGCTAGAAATGTATGGATAAGCTCGTGTCAAATGTTTAGTAGATGTCTTTAATACAAATGGACAGGGAGTTCATGATTTTTCCTATTCAATAGCATTACTTCATGTTATATTAAGTCTGTCCACGTATTGTGAAGCATAATTTTTGTTTGGCTGTGTGTATTTAAGCTGAGGAATTCATGAAAGGCTTCCTGTGTGTGCTGTGAGCATCTACCCCTTTCATCTAACATTTGTCCCGTTTAGGTCCTAGCAATGACAATGGCAGCCTTACCGCCTCCCAATCTCCAGAGTTTAGGATGTGCATATAAAGATGCAGCACAGCAGAGCACTTCAGTAGAAACGTATGAACATATGGAATAAGCACTTAGAGAACAGAGTTTTTTTTATATTTTTATGTAGATTAATAAAACACTAATATGCTATTATTTTCTGAACTTTTTTTTTTTAGTTATGAAGATGGTCAAGTGGGTGATACAAGTATAAATACACAGGAACCAAGCATTCATAAAGAGATTCTTCGAGTCATTGGCAATCAAACTGCTACTGGTTAAAAGGACCACTCTAATTTAATTGATGTGAAGCCTTCCTCAGTCTCAAAGCTGGATTTTGAACTGAAGAAAATGCAAAAAACTAATTTATTATTACTACACTAAGCAAATTAACCATTTGAATACTTACTGTTTTCTTACTTAGTATTTCGTATCTCATCAAAATACCTGAGATGGTATCAATTAGTAACTGTAGGGGTGCAAAGGCTATTATTATACAAAATTAATAATTAAACAGGCATTTGGGTTGCTCACAATAAACAGACATTAAAAAGGATTTTTGTGCTGATATTTTTATACTAAACTTCAATTGGAAGTTTTAGTACTGTATACTGGTATTTTAAATTTAGAAGGACTGAATTGCAAGTAAGAGAGAAGATTTTATAGCGGAGCACTGTATTATGCAGGATACTTTGCAATAAGTAAAATATTCTCATATTAAAACACAATAAAAAGTTGTCTGGAATATGTAAAATTGAAGAGATTGGCTACCTGCAGCTATCTTTGATTATTTTTATTTTATGCAAATGCCGTTAGCATTTAGACTCAAAGGTGAAAACAACAATGCATTTTTTATTTACTGGGTGCAACAAAGCAAAATTAATGTGATGGTATATGTTCAGCTTTCTTTATCTTCTCTGGAACACTGTCTCACCCATTATGCACCTCAGTTGCATTTTTTAATTATACAAGCCTAGGAAACACCTGGAAAACCTAAAACTGTTAATTTTCTTTTTAGAATTTTCTTTTTTATATACTAGATTTTACAGTTTCATTAGATCAATGAAGGTTTTTTAATGTTTGCATCTTAACTTCAGTGAAATTGCTCTGTGATTAAATTTATCCATATATTTTAAAGTATGTGCTGAGTTAAGGCTTTTACATGGTTTAGTTGATTGTTGGTGCATCAGAAAATATATTCAAATGCAAAATTCTACTGGTTTTGTCTTGGTAAAACAGTTTTAATTAATTTCTAAGTTATAAGAAATCAATTTAAATATCTCTGTCTTTTAAATTAACAGCTGTTTTTTCCAACAGTAAGAGTAGGATGGCTACACAGATAGAGAAGGGTCCAGTCTCCAAGACAAAAAGCATACCCTGTGCCCTGATGAATGCCCTTGGCAGCCCTCATGGTGGCTATCCTGAAGCATCAATCACACTCTTGAATATGGAGAGCAGTTGAACTTACCCATCTGTGCAACTACTACAAGCCACCTCAGAAAGCAAAAATAGACTGAAACCTCTCTTATGTTACTTTCATAATAAAGATACTAAAGCACCAAATAACAGCACAACAGAGCACAGGCGTGTTTGTTTCTTTTAAACAGAACTGAATTAGGTCTGCTGTAATGGATTATTCCTTCTTTCTAGTTCATGCTACACTCCTGTATTACTTGCTGCAGTTGAAGTGCCCTACAAGTTAATAATGGTATTTGGCCTAGGAGCGTATACCTGGGATTTAGCATTCTACATTATTTAGCATACCTGTAGTTTAGCATCCTGCAGTTATTTGCTTTAGTGTTAATTTTTTGGGTTCATATCCAGACTTATAAAGCAAATTCTTTGTTTGCGTATCCCCATTTTGCTGTTAGTTCTATTGACTTGCACCTTCATTTGGTGGACCTCTAAATTAGAGAAGCACTACTCTAATCATTGTCTCTCATGTTGAGACACAGGTTAACTTCTTGAAACAAAGAGGTTTCCTGAAATTTGTCTATCTGTATAAGGACTGCCATAGGTTGTGTGACTGCAAAAAGTCAACATAATTCAGAAGTGGAGCTGAAACCATGGCATGACCATCTTTCTGTAATGGTCCTGCCGTATGTGTCTTAATCGCTCTGTTTGGCCTAACAAAAGGAAACTCGGAAGCAAGTCCACAAAGATGTTCTATGATTATTTGCAGGGCTGATAGTTCACCACTCTGGGATGCCTCTTCAAAAAAAAAAAAAAAACAAAAAAAAAAAACAGGAGAAAAGAGAGATGACCATGAGTGAACTGGAGGAGCCAAGTAAACAGTCATCTTCCCTGTTCCCTCAAGCTTATTGATGGACATGGGGTCAGAAATTGAATCCTTGAAGAAAGGAGTGTGCAATGTAGCTAATGAGTTGACCTCTGTTTGCATTGTGGGGTTGTGACACTGGTCATGCATGGAAGAGCTTAAGGATAAGATTTTCTTTGAAGGATTTGTCCTTTGTGGTTTTTTGCAAAGGTGGAAGTTGCATGATGCCAAACGCTTCCAAATAACTTACATTAACATGGATTCCAAGGGATGAAAAATTAAAATCCTAGGGTCATTTGACCAAGACCCTGTGTTATGCCCAAAGCCCTTGCATTTTCCTTCCTCTATTGTCATGCACACATATTAGTGATGGACCAATCATTGTAACTCCTGCTGTAAAAGATTCAGGCTTTCCAAAGATGGTTTTTAATCAAAACAAGTAGAGCCCCAGGCTCTGCCATCTCTCTTGGTAGAAATTTCCATGAAGTCACTGCTGTTGCCATACCCAGTATGGAGCAACCAAGGGAGTTCTTGGTAAATAACTTTCTTTTTGCTATGTCCTACAACAAAATGCAAGCCCTCCTCATGGTGGAAAGGTTTGACAAAAATTTGCATTAGTGTTTAATGTTGCGTCCTAATTATGCATTGCTGTATTTATACTGCTGAGTATCTTAAAACATTGTGAGAGGAATCAAGAAAGATGCTTTTAAATCTTCCTTGAGATTCAGGCAAGTATTTAGCATTCAAGGTCAAAATTAAGCAATTTGAGGTATCTTCTATGATACTTGAGGTATCTTCTATGATACAAATCAACATGGCCCTGTTTTCTTCAACAGTGCTACACTGTTTTGATAACCTGAATCTTTAGCTTCCTATTACTTACCATAAAGTGGCCAGGTTGTGTAATATTTTGGTTAATGTTTTACAAGAGCTAGTCAATGACACTGGAATTTTTAGGCTTGAATTTTTTCCTGTACAGCCCTTGAAAAAACCCTTAATGAAGCTGAATGATTTTAACATAATAGCTGTTGGTACTAAAAATGCATCTTATGAATTATGCTAAGATTGTTCCTTTGTTAATACAAATATAAAGTCACTCCAGATTAAGACTTCATGCATAGATATATTAAACTTTGCTTACAAATCACTTACTCCCATGAAAACAATTAGCATAATTCCTACAAGGATAAATACAAAGTAGAAAAAAAAGCCAAAAGGAAACAACTGAATTACGAGATTTGTGGTTTAGAAGGACCAAACCCTTAGCAAATGCAAAAGTAGTATCTAGTTACTTAATAATTACATGAATTTAGACAGATTTTTTCTTGGCTGTCGGAAATGAAAGTGGGATACAAAGAATATGAGCCATGACTCACCATGCAGCCTCTGCTGGCAGTGCTGCTGCAGCTGGAATGGCCCTGGCCACCCATTCACTTCTCTCCTGTGACACACAGCATCCTGTGGTGTTTTATTTGCAAAATTCAGGTGTTAATCTGGTGTCTGTGCAATTTCTTCATTACAAACACCACCTCAAGGTGATGGATGAGTCTGTTGAGTAAACCGAGCAAGATCTGTTGCTTGTAGAGCAGTTCTGTGAAGCACCTGAGGTTGTTCAGAAAGGATCTTGAGTCCAGTCAGATGAATTTATTCTTTAAATAAATTCCACTCAGGAGTGGAGTGGTACTTGCTTCAGAAGGGGATAAATAAAAGGGGATAAATAAAAGGGGATAAATAAAAATGGGAAAGTTTTCTCCAAGCAGAGCGTCATCCTTTGTGCACTGTTCTGTGTGAAATGCACAAGGATGTCGCTGGGAGTTTGGATTTCCCGATCTGTGTTTGGAAGCAGGTCTGAAAGCACTGACCTCCTCTGTCTGTCCTGGCATGTCAGTGTTGTACTCCTGCTCACCTGCTGCAGCAACAGCCACTGACAAGAGCCGAAGGAATAAGACAGCTTGAACTGCTGTTCCATTGCATTTTGATTGCATGCTCCCGCTCAAGTTTCAGTCTGCCACAGAATAGCTACAATGTAAATTACTGCCCATTACACTTTGCGTTGGGATTTTGTGTATGTACTAGGCATAAGGCTTTTGTAAAGGGAAAAAAATTAGTTTTTAGATGAACATATCTACTGTGTTAAAAACCTGTTGAGAAGATTGCATTAATAATTTATCAAAAAGTCAGTAAAAATATTCCTTATACATAGACATTTAATTTAATGTTCTAAAAATAATTTTTGAACTTACCCAGTATGTATTGTATCTTTGAACTTTAACAAACAGACACTCCTTTATATAAACATAAAATATGCCAATGTTTCTTTTAACTCCCTAGCCTTTTTTTCTCCAGATAAATTTATTAAATTCTGTGCACAAAATCATACTGCAGCCTGCTATTTAGCCTATGGTGCCTTAGAGTTACTCAAATATTAAACAAAATGGAGATAATGTAAATACTGCCAGAAGATCACTAAGGCCAAATATTTTCTCTATTCACTTTTTACTGCACTTGCTTTCTATTGCTATTTAAGCCTCTTTTATTCAGCTTTGTACCAGCTATAGCATTGTAGCCAATGTAAATGTTTACCTTCAATAAATCAGAATTTGTTCAACAAGCACTGGGCATTTGGGCACTATTTTGAGAACTCTGTTCAAAGTTAAAACAGCCATCTAAGAATTAAACTGCATCTGAAGCAGTTTCTTGACTTTTGCTAATCTCAATGACATCTAAAAGTTATGCCATGCTTTTACACATGTTTTTGAAGTAAAATTTTTTTGCAGTGATCTTTTTAAAAACACTTAGATGGACAGTAAAACCAGCTTTTCTTGCTGTGTGTATCTGAATGGGTTACCCAACTATAATAAAAGCATTGTTTTGCATGTACAGTATCATAAAATGCATAAAGATGTCTCAAGATGCTTTTTATAATTGCTTTTAAAGAAGTTCTCTGTTTTTCTGTAGAGCTGTTTTTGTCATGAAAACACAGCAGATATATGACAAACCGTGTCATACTTTAATGTGGCTATGTTTAAAGTATAAATACACATCTGCAACTCATAAAATATGCAGACGTTCGTGGGACTGGTTATTAATTCAGTGAGTGTACTGGTTTTTTCACTACCTGTGAGCTCATTTTAATTATACGGGTGGATGTAGCTTACAACTTTTGAAACTTTTACCTTTTGTTGTTAAATTTATTATTTTTTAATCAGATTGCAGAGTCAAAGTGGTACTTACTATTATTTTGACTGCTGGGAAGTGTATTACACAAATATGACTATCAGAGAGACAAAAAGATACATCATTGCTACTCTAAATGACTGATAATTTGCCTTCGATTTAAGTGTAGAGGCTAGAGCTTGAATTCTCTAATGGGAGAGATCTTCCAAATTTTGGAGGTCTTGAATTTGGAAACAGTGACTTCCAAACTCACAAAAGAAGAGCTGAGTCATCTCTAGAATTGGTACCCACAGAGAGTAGGAGGGTCATAATTTATATTTGCTTTGGTTTAACTTACTTCATTTCCAAGTAGCTACATCACAAGTTCTCTCAATATGTACCAATATTAAGTTTTCTGCTGAGAAGGTCTTTGGTACACTGTATCCACCTGTTGAAAGGTTCCATGTGGGACACGAGAGATTCGCAATCCAAACAGTAATTGACAGCAGTAAAAAAATTATTGCAATGAATAAGAGCTACTTTCAAGTGCACACACTGTATTTTTAACAGGTCGAATAGCAGAGTATCTCCTAAGAAAATATCACCATTGCAAAGAAGGATATACTTTTTTATTAAGATGTGTTTACACACTTGACCAACTTCACATTTTTGAAATTGGTGTGCAGTGAAGATTGAAATAAGTAATTTTGCACAGAAGTCACAGCCTTGGCCCCCTCCAAGAGGGATTTGTCCTCCTGAAATACTGTAAGGCAACTTAAATATAGCTGCATCAAATGAATGAAGCCAGTAGTAGCTGAGGGCTGCAACTTTTCTGTGCCCCAGCTCTCAGCACAGTGCAAACACTTTAAGAGATGAAAACTTTAGGAATGAAGCAAAGGGCTCAGTGCCTTGCAAAAACCTGGTGTCAAAACAGATGAAAAAAAAGGAGCAGCACTTGGGAAAAAGTATTAAATTGGCATTTTTGTTAGACAACATTGTTGATCCCTCAGGCTGAGCAAACATTTTCCATTCACAGTTAAGGGAGAGAAGTATAATTCAACACACAGAATGTGAAGCCTCTGAACAGGGCATAAGACCCTTCTAGCATCAGCATTGTTTGTAGCAAACCCATATGCAAGGCGTCAGCTATTGGATTCCAGCCAGTTCCAGAAAACTGGCATTTTGCGAGATGCTGAATCTGTGGGAATTACACTAGCAGCAGGAACAGTGACTGCTGCAGAAGCAAGAACAGCACAAGTCTCCAGGGACTGTGTCTGCAGCAAAATACAGGAACTCCTGGTGTATGGTTTGCTCAACAAAAGCCAGAGCTTATCATCAGCAAAGCAATTATAATTCGTAACTTTTAAGGAGAAAGCTTTCCATTGTTTAGGAGAAAGGAAAAGGAAAAAAAGAGTAGTTTTATTCAACCTGCTGTCCTGTCACTGGATAGTTTAGTCTAGTAGCAAGTCTGGGGCATGTCCCATTCTACTTGCATGTAGCAGGTTTACTTACAGCACTAGTTAGGAACTTTCTTAGAGATCTCAGGCAGAAGGAGGAATGTCTCAATTGGCTGACAGTTCCTTGGAGCCAGTCTCATATTTTATAACTATTCTAATGAAGTCTGTACAGGTAATATATTCCAGAAAGGGAATAGGTGGCTGATACTGTCCTTGCTGTCCTTTCAAGTCTGATCATACTGTTCTTCCCATGAGCTGCTGAAAAAAAAAAACAATTTTGCTGATTGTTTGAAAAAAAAAATCCTTAATCTCTCCTGATCTTTCCATCTCTCCTAGACAATAGCTTGGAGTTTGGGTGTATTTCTCTTCACAAACCTCTACCAAAGTTTATTCAGTGTGAAGAGCTCAAAGATGAGAGGAATCAGAGGCTAAACTAATTGGAATAGGTATAAATGTAATTTGAATGTAGGTAGATGAAAATGTGTAAGTATATATTAAAAAATTTGCATATATTTATAGGAACATAAGTTGAAACAGAACTTTTGACTTAAAACTAAGGATCACAGTATCACTGTTTACAACACTTCTGACAAATGGTGTATTACAAACTGGTTTTAACTACCCTAATGTGATATGTGTTGGTAGATCTTACTTGTTGACATTTTGTCAAAGACATGTTTTGCTAGAGGCCTTCAAATTTTTGCCTGTGGGGAATACAGTCACTCTTCCTCTGTATGCATTATCACATAGCTGGTATGTTGTGCTTCATGCAGTATACCATATATTTGAAATTGTATTATGCCACTCTTTGGCTTTTTATTGTCTTTGATTTCATGCTTACCATTCTAATCAATAGTACATGAGTATCAGAAATCTCAAGATCTTCTAGCACCAGTCTCATTTCAGATTCCTGCTGATACTTTATGCTTTGGAACTTTGCAGCTTTTTTTTTCAGCTGCATGTCTCCTTTTTATGCCTGGGTTACAAAGGTTTTTGGGTGGTTGCTAAATACCTTGCTAAAGCTGAGAGGTGGCACTTCTGTCTCTCTGAGAGTTGATTTACCTTTTTTTGTTAAGATCTCTCCTTTTGTTAAGTTTCCAGTGGTCTTTTACACTACGAAAAAGTTGCAAAAAAATTAGAGGACTTGTTGGGGAGTTGATTTTACTGTTTGTTATGTTGTTCAATGACTTCCTATTCTGTATATCTGTGCTAATGTGAGCTGAATTTGTGATTAATTGAAGATCTCTTTCCTGTTGCTTGTACTGCTCACAGAGTTAGCCTTTAGAAAAGCATCAGGTATGAGCATTAAAGCACAAACTGAGTATATTTCAGTTAAAATGCAAAAATATGCAGCCACGAAGAGTAAAAAAAGTATTGAAATTACAGTCCATCAATACAAAAAGCATGTGTACAAACTACTAACTTACACATGAAAACAAGAATGTGTGGCCAGATAGGTATGCCAAAAAGGATGCTGTTAAAAACTAAAGAGTTTTATAAATACTATTTCCTGTCATTTTCTTTCATCTAAGCAAATTTGGCAGCGTAAGTTCAAAGTACTCCCTACCTTTGTATTTCTGGCTCTGTCTTTAAACAGAGTTTAAATTTAACTGCTGGTCTTTCCTTCACAGATTCTTCTTTTCCCGTATTTTTATGAGGAAAGTTTCAATTACTTTAAAGAGTGTTATTGATCTCCTAAATGAATCTGCTTGAACAATTTTCATAGATTAGTTTGAAATAGGTTTTTTCATTAATAAACTACCATAGGCATTTGCTTCCTTTCCATGGAGATTTTTTTGATGTTTGTAAACCTCGAGTCTTGAGTTTTTACTTGAACAAATCTTTTCTTAAGGGGATTGAAAGACTTGATGGTGTGTGCATGAGATTTATTATGAAAATTTTACTTTTGTCTTTGTAAGTGGTGTCTCAGTGGCCTGGGCAGCAGATTCTGGGTGTAGTACAATTTATGAATTGGTCCCAATGAGGACTGATTTTGATTTTAGCTTTTAGGGTATCATTGACCCATTGGATAAAGCTAAAAATTCTGACTATTCGTATCAAATTCTGTGTCTGTAAATTATGTTATTTTGTGTAAACTGTTCCTTTACATTATCTGCTCTGTGAATCTCTATTCATATCTGTTCCTGCCAACTCTACTATGCATGAATGCCAAGAAAGAAACAAAGTTAAAATAAAGATGTGGTTCATGGTCCCTGCTGACTGGAAATTTTGTGTGGGTTCATGTAGGGTAAAATAGTGCAAGAGGTCACTCTAGCAGTTTTTTGAGTTGAACAGTTGCCTTTCATGCCTGTCAATGTTCTTGAACCTATTCATTTTGCTTGTATAGGCACAGCCATCTGGTCAGACTTGATCTGTTTGTTTGTCTGGATCAAGATCTTTGCTCTGAAGCAACAAAGGTATTCCTTGTTGGAAGGTTACATTTCATTGGGCACTATTGTGCTTGCTTTTCACTTTGTACAGTTTCCTGTGACAAAAGCAAATGAAAAATGGATGAAGGATACTGTTATTTTGATTTGTAGCATTATTCCTACAGCATGAGTAAGTAAAAGGGATTCCACAGCATTCAGGCCTCTACATACACTTCAGAATTCACAATAATTGACTTATATTTTCTCTGACTAGATATATATATACACACATGCTTGTATCCTTTTTAATTTTGACATTTTGATTGCCAAGTAGGTCTTTGAATACAAGAAAGTGGGCACCATTGTTTCATATACACAGAGATTGTCTAGACTTGCTAAGAAAGCTGAGCAAGTAGAACCTAGTTATGAACAGCGATTTATTTCAGTGCTCTGCGAAACAGAGACTACTGAATCCTGTGGGTGGTTTTATGAAAAAATGTGAGCAAGCATCTACTGGAAGACTAATTCTCTCTGATCAGAACAGATTCAGAACAAAACTTCTTGAGGTGCGAGGCTTGTTCAATATATTCCATTGCACAAGCCCCAGAACAAGGATTTGATTAAATACTTGTACTTGCTCTTTTTTAAATTTTTTTTTTTTCCCCCCCTCTCCACCAGAAACTTTCTCTGGGCAAATAACTATATCCAAAAACTTTTCTAACTGTAAAAGCCATTGCTGGTTAATCACAGCTATGTCAGTTTAAGGATGTGATTTCCACAAGTTAGTCCCTTAGATTTATGGTGCTCTCTATGATTTTTATTTTCCCCCTACATTATGAATGCCTCATTCCTCTTGAGGGTCATAAAAAGTTGAAAGGTATAGTAGCAATATACAATGCAGACTTCCTTGCACCCTCTTGCTGGTCTGCATAAAACCTGAATTGAGGTACTCATTTCCTGCAGTGATTAATCAACATAATGTGATCACTTGATGAAAATCAGGCTATAGTAGTTAGATATTTTGAAGAGGAATGTTGGGCTTGAGGTTTTTGTTTCACAGAGCCTTTTCAGCATTGAGTGAAATTTATTCCTTCTCTTGTGGTTTGAGCTCATATCTGTATCTTTAATTTGATTTTATTTCTTTAGGTAAGGATGTTGGGTCAACCAACTGAGGGCTACTTAACTGAGGAAGCAATTTTGCTTACAACCTTGTTCCTTCAATGTCCATACTAGACCAAATTGCTGGTGTGAAATGCCTTTCCAGTGTGTTTCTTGGTGGGCAGGGTTTGCCTTCTGCAGGGTGTACCAGGCAGTGTGCCTTTAAATTTATCCATTCCTGCAAATTCCCTCTGAACTGAGTGCTATCTTTAGAGATATGGTATCCTCCACCTTCTCCAACTAGCCCAAATGCATTTTACTTGTCTCATGAAGGCTCAAACAAAACCTTTTTTTTTTTTTTTAATCAGCTCCAGCAGCTCCAAAGGCTCCCTTACAGTAGAACACATATTCTTGCTCAAGAAAGCACTTACTTCTGTGCTCACATTTTAAGCATTTGTATAAATACTGTCTTGGAGCCATACTCTATTGTTGCCACAAAAAGTATCAGAGGGTCAGAGGACCCCTCCCATAAGGACAGGACAAGAGAGCCTGGGGCTGTTCTGTCTGGAAAAGAGAAGGGTCTAGGGAGAATTTACTGCAGTTTTCCAGTATCTGTAGGAGACATAAAATGAAGACAATGAAAAACTTTTATCTGGGCCTGTTGCAATAGGACAAGGAGCAATGGTTTTAAAATAAAAGAGGATTGACTCAGACTAGATATAAAGAAGAAATTATCTACTATGAGGACATTGAAACACTGCAACAGGTTGTCCAGAGAGGTAGTGAATGCACCATCCCTGGAAACATTCAAGGCTGGATGGGGCTCTGAGCAACCTGAGCTAGTCAAGGATGCCAAGGCTGATTACAAAAAGTTGGACTAGACAGCCTTTACAGATCCCCTCCAGCCCAAACCATTCTGTGATTGTGTGGAGAACCTTCACCAGAATGTAATCACCTGGCTACCTCCTGACCAATCTCTGAGGGCTGGAAGCCTGTCTCCTCTCTTTTCCCAGTACTGCCTAGACAGTATTGCCTCTGTCTTTTCTTATAGACACTTAGAGGAGTTTCATGGGAAAAGTGGCCATGCCACTGAGGCACAAGCCCTGGCCCAGCATCAGAAAAATCTGTCTTTACTACTGGCTGTGTTTGCCACGGTACCAGACACATGTTTGTTCAAATGATTCTTCTCCTGTGTAAACAAGGTCAGCTGGTAGAAAGATAAAACAAAATGTGTTAAGTCCCTGATGGATTTAGGGAGTGATACGTTTGAGATCTAATGCCAGTGTTGCAGTATCAAAAATATAACAGCCTGAGCTTTCAAACTCTCTGCTCACCTCAGTATTATCAGATTTGGATTCTCATCAATGCTATGTGAGATTAATGCACTCCTTTCCTCCACAATCCCATTAAATATGGGTATGCATGCTAAATTTAAGTCAGAGCCTGTCTTCTACAGGGCAGTTTTGAGAGAGAGCAGCCTCAAAAACTACAGAAATACATACAGTGTGTCATACCTAAGGGGAAATAGTGCTAAGAATCTGTAACTATGAGGGTAGATTCTTCTTTGTGAACAGGAAAAAAAAAGCCTTTTTTTCAAAGATGTAGGAACAGATGGTAATGATTTATCCTAAGTAGGATGTGGGATTTCCCTCTATTCCAAGAACCCCTTTTCCATTATCATCCTTGTGGCACAGGGCAGCAGTTCTCAGTTCATAACTCATGGAAAACCAGGCGTTGCCAACACACACCACCAAAAGAAGATGAGGACAGTGGCATAAAAACATGTAATATACACCAAAAAGAACTGAAACCACAAAGAGTGCATCTTTTACAAAATAAAAAGTATCCTTCAACTTATAAAACTAGTACAGTAAAGGCATATATTTTCTGAGTAATGTCATTGGGCAGAGGGAGGAAAGCTCTTCCTCAGCAACACTGACAGTGCAAGCATTCCCTGAGGAAATCTGGCTCAAGCACTATACTGACGACCCATTCCTTCAGCCCTTCACTGTGGACTTAGGACTGAAAGTCTCAGCCAACACCAGCTGTCAGTAAAAGAGTCCAGGAGAGAGGGAGGTTAATCTGTCAAAGGTAAAACCATAATTTAATAGAATAAGATCTGAAGAAAAGTGAGTGAGTGGGCAATGTGTTTTTGACCAGAAATACCAGTGAACAAATGGATTCTGGGTAATGCTCAGCTGGTAGAGAAATCTGTATGCCACGTTATAGTCCCACTCATTTTTCATATAAACAGGACTATCTTTATTGTTGTCCTTTTCTCATAAAACTAACTCAAATGAATCATTCTCATAGGACTTTCTTTAGTCATGCTTCTAATATTTGTAAGTATCCTAAACTGGGAAAACTGGCTGCTATAATTTATATAGAAAACTGATATCAAGACATTTCCCAAAGCTAGGAAAATATATCAGTCAGGTTGAAGAAAGGATGATACAGCAGGGTCTGTCCCTCACCACTGAGTTTCTTCTTCCTGATGGAGTAGATATGAAATTTAATTATTTCAATCTAAGTAAGTAAATAATAGAAATTATTTTAATACTAGTGATAAACGATATTGTTCTTTCATAAAAGCCAATGCCTTCTTTAGCAATAATTAATAAGGAAAAGGAGATGAAAAATCTCAGTTTTTCCTAAAAGACTATCTATAATTCACTTGCCTTCTCTGCTCATTGTTTGTAGAAGTATTTGCCTGCAGCCACCCAGCAGGTATCTAATCTCTATAAAAGTGCTATCTAGTTCATGTTTTCTGAATTTTATTTTAATATTGGCTTGAATATTTGTCATGGGCAAAACTGATTCATCCTCAGAATATTGATTGAATTTATTATTAACAAAATGAGAGCAGGGCAATGAGAAATAAAATAAACCTTAAAGAACACCTTTCCCCCACCCCTGTCCCTCCATCCTTCCCAGCTCTACCTCCTCTCCCACAGCAGCACAGGGATACAGGGATTGGAGATTACAGTCAGTTCATCACACATTGCTCCTGCCACTGCTCAGGGAGAGGAGTCCTTCCCCTGGTCCAGCAGAGGTCCCTCCCATGGGAGATAATTGTCCATTAATTCCTTTAACCTGAGTCCATCCCATCGGCATCAGTTCTCTCCCATGGGTGCAGTCTTTCAAGGACAGGCTGCTCCAGTGTGGGTCCCCCACAGGTCACAAGTCCTACCAGGAAACCTGCTCCAGCATGGGCTCTTCTTTCCATGGATCTGCAGGTCCCTGCCAGGACCCTGGCTCCTGCAGAGTTTTCCCATGGGGTCATAGCCTTCTCCCAGGCATCCCCTTACTCTGGCATTGTTCTCCTCCAGGGGTTGCAGGTGGATCTTTGCCCCTCCATGGGCTGCAGGGGCGCAGCTGCCTCACCATGGTCTGCAGCAGGGGTTGCAGGGGAATTTCAGCTCTGGAGCTGAGAGCACCTCCTTCCCCTGCTTCTCCACTGACCTTGGTCCCTACAGAGCTGTTCCTCTCTGATATTCTCATCCCTCTCTTCTCTGGCCACAGTTAGAACTGTGCAATAAATGTTTTACCTTCTCTAAATACACTATCACAGAGACATTACTATAGTTCCTGATGTGCTTAACTTTGGCCAGCATCAAGTCTGTCTTGGAACTGTGTGGGATTAGCTCTGTTGGACATGGAGTAAGCTTCTGGCATCTTCTCACAGAAGCCACCCCTATAGACACCTCACTACCAAGACCTGGCCAGGCACACCCAATACATCAAT